ACCTATATCATATAAGATTAACGTCACTTCCGGAGCACATGCTATCCTACCTCAAACTTGAACACTTCCCTGACTTCACGATCCACCGGAGCTCTCAATGATAATCGTCCAAGACGGTCGATATCAAAGAAGTTCGCCACGTCGCCATCAAGTATCCGGTAAAACAGATTGTTGTAAGAAGCCGAGACGTTTCCGAAAACGGTATGAATCGATTGACTTTCAGATATTAGAAACCTAAAATATGATTTTTAAATCCTTGAATTAGCTGTAGTGCTTACTCATAATCCTTCTGGGGAAATTGTGGTTGCTCAGATGGTTTTTTGTAAGAGGCTGTGATACGTATTGGCACAGAGGACGTAAGGCGAGGGTTTCCGTGATCTGATGCTGTAACAGTTATTAAGTACTCCGATCCCATTGTCATAGCTGAATGTAGAACGACAGATCCTGAAACACCTCTTGTTATACGATTTGTAATGCTGCTTACCATCAGCTGATATACTGAATTGTTCTTCATGCCGCTCAAGTGAATAAGATAGTTTTCCATTATCACCCGAATCCTTGTCAGTTGCTTGAACTCTGAGTATAATCTCGTCCGGCTGTGCATCAGGATGCACTTGAACATCATAGAAAGGCTTGTTGAACACAGGCGAGTTGTCATTTATATCGATGAGTGATACTCGAATTATACCACTTGTCTTGAACTTTCCGTCGAATGCCTTAAAAGGTAAACGTGCAATTGTTCAACAGGTTCTAACTTACAATAACTTTTAAACTGATGTCGGGGTTTTCTTCATAATCTAACTCTGCTATGGTATGTATCACTCCAGTATACCTACATAAGCTGATAATGTGGAAGAAATATTTTAAAATGACTCACTTATCGATCTGGAACCGTGGATCCTCAATTTCGAATGAATACTCAATGACACTATCGTTATCGACATCGTTAGCTGATACAGTACTGATGTAAGAGCCAATAGGTACAGCTGAAGCATGGTGACTCATACAGCGCGGGATAAAATTCAACTTACATTCCAATATTTTGCGGTTCACAACTCTGGGAAAAGCTGGCGGGTTGTCATTGATATTGTTGACTGAAGATTATATGCTTTAACACAGTACATCGTTATCTTCTTACCTTTCACATCGAGCATAGTGGATATTTCACCATTAAAAGTGCCTGTTCCGATAATTCTGAGCTCATACTTCGGTCTTATCTCATAATCCAGCTCTTGTGCAGTATGAACGAAGCCTTCTGTAAAAACAAACAATCCTCAGCTTCTTGATTTATAATGGCATACCTGAGTCAATTTCGAAAGCTCCATCCATATTACCTTCTACAATACTGTAGGTGATTCGAGAGTCCCGTTGAGTGGTTTGGACTTGAGCGATTTTCTGTCCCCTCTCCAGCCCTTCATCTACATCTGACACGTAGCTGGATCGCAAGAATGTTGGATCTGCTTCATCAGCTTTCACTCCTGCTGAGCTTTCTCGTTCATCCCTTATTCGAATGAAACGATCGGAAGACAAATGTTTGTTGCCCTGATCGCTAACTCGAACTTTTAGCATCCATTCCCCTTGATCAACTTTAAAAGATCTAAACAAGATGATAAGAGGAGAAAGCGACGCTAATATCAAACCTCTTGTACACCAATTTCCCGGTCTCAGGTTCTAGGTCGAACAACATAGATGGATCTTCTAAAAGCTCGAAAACAAGATGACTGTTCTCATCTTTATCTAAGTCTAATGCACTCAGTCTGAATATGTTTTGTTTATCAACAAACTCATTGAATTTCCCTACTGTATAACAGAATCTCCAACTTTGACAGCGTCATCAATGATAACTAGTTGAGCAGTCGAAGCAGAAAACTGAGGAGGACTATCATTATCATCAGACACGCTCACACGCACGGTGCATGTATCCTGAATCACGTAGGCTCGTAAACTTTATTTTTCAATTCAAAACTCACATTTTGACCAAATCCTTCAGCAACTATTACGAGGAAGTGTTCGGCTTTGGTCTCACGATCTAACTCAACACTTGACAGCTCTCCAGTAGATGAATCGATTTCGAACAGAGGTGTAGGAGCTGAAATAGAAATATTTTATTACAATTCTAGAAGTTTGATGATTCCCAAAACAACGTATCAATAGGTCATATAATGAGAAAGTGATTATTGAGACGTGCGAACGCTACGTCATCAATTGGAATTAGCATACGTGGAATCCATCAAGCTCACCTTGAAGCATAAACTTTTCGACGTTTTGAGCAATGATTCGTTTGAAGTTTTTCAATCCTTTGTTTTCAGGAACAACAACAACGCCGCATGAAGCCGAGCTTATTCTAGGACGGTCAGGAACTGTGGTGACTGCAACGGTAACGCTTGCCCAGTCTACTTCTTGAGAGGTAGAGGATGCGAGGACTAAAACATGAATGAATAAGTTCGGAAAAGAGATAATAGTATACCTGAGAAGCGATGAATTCCATTTGAAAGACTATTTCTCAACTTTAAATCATTTCCAATCAGTGAGAGACCAGCAGGCATGGACATAGGACGAATTTCTGATTCGCCTGAAAACGAGATCCTGCGTTGGATTTGGATGTGTGTCTGTTATACCTTTTCCAGTTATTTTTCCAACCAAATAACCTCTGTCAGCAGAGTCAGTGATGTTGAAGATGTATTCTGGGCGATCAAAGAAGTGCCATCTCTTTGAACTATTCATTATTCTGCAGAAACAGAGGTTGCTGGGAAAGCTTAAAGAACTAGAACCTTAGTGAAAGAGTCTGCTCAATGGCAAGAGGAGTTGTTCCACTGTCCGAAACTCTCACGATCAGTGATTCGTCAACATCTGGGAACTGCTCCATGAAAATGTCTCCTTTAAATACTTATTTACAAAGATTTTTCAAAGTAGGTTATACCTGTCTTGCTGTTGATAGTGAAGAGGTTGTGAGGATTTGATGATAACTCAAACTTCAGTTGAGAGTTCAAACCATTATCTCGGTCCGTGGCAACAATTTTATGAATTTTTCTGGAACTGTCTGGCCACAGATAAACTATCTCATCGCTAAAGTAAACTAGTAAGTATATGCTTCTCATAGATCTAGTCGGACCTTGAAATCTCTGGAGTATTGTTGTTAATATCAATAACGTTGACGTTTATGAGCTGAGTTGACTTCAAACTTCCACAGCGAGCTTCAACGACCAATGAGTACTGTGGCTTCTGCAAACAAACTCTAAGTTATGAATCGAAACACTTCCTTTATCACCTCGAACCAATCCAGTGTTGAAAGCAATGAGATATCTCCAGTGAATCGATCAATACTGAACATATCAGTTGGATCATGAAGATAATAGGAAACAGTTAAATTGGAATCACTTGGAACATAAGCAAAAGCTGAGAGAATGATAGAATCTGAAAGGTTTGTATCATTTTGTTTGTTGTTGTGTAATATCTATTACCAGGCAATGTATCTTCGATAACATCAATTTCAATAACATCTTTGTTGAACTTCGGTAGTATCTCAGCATTCTGAGAAATCTGAAGAAGCAGAGAAGTGAATGAATGAAATTGTTTTCGATAATTTACTTGGAATTCAATTAGAATATCCTCCATAGCTTCAGTCTCAATGTTGTTTTTACGGAAATAGATGTTATGAACAGATTCGCCAATATGGTCTTTCAATCGTCCACTCAGATATATAGTTCCTGTGATTTCATCCAACTCAAACATTTCAGTCTGAAAATAACAAGAATGAGCGGAAAAGGCTGAAGCTGAGATTTGACGAACCTTATTAGATATACTGTAATAGTAATGTCCGTTTTCAGTTCCATCACCAATGACAGCGATTTTTGATCCAATAGGTAGCGTTTGAGGTAAAGCTACCGTCTCCCTTAGATTCTATAAATCAAAATAGATTATGTATAAGAATAGATATGAAAGTACCTTTGATAATGGTGGTAGAACTTTCAATGTTAACATCTTCTGACGTCCTTCCTTATCTGATAGAACAACAACAAGATTCCATGGAGGTAAAGCTGTCGGCAATGATGATAACGACAAAACACCATTGTGAATGGAAAAGCAGTTGGATATCTCTATAATAATATTCATATATATCGTTTAACAACAAAAAAACAATTATTTACCTGAGCTTTGCAAAAGCCATTTATGTACTCCAGTTGCATCTATTTGTCGCAGACGGCATACGTTCGTGCAATTTGATGGCACACGTAATGTTCTGAAAAAAAAGTTATTACTTAACACCGTCTCTGCAGAAGCAGTTTTTCAATCTGATGTTATGAGCAGCATGATCAAACAACGTTCATTGGAAAATGCTAACAAGTACCTTTCAAATGGCTCAACCAAATGAATATCTGTTTGTCCTTTTGTGACTTTGATGGGAACATGGCATACAGATGATTTACGTGGTCGTCCGTTATCCGAAGCAATAATGGAAATACGGAAGTCCGTTGGATCGACGTCAGTTATTTTTCGTCTCAGTCTCACATCACCTGAAGCATTAGAAAGTAAGAACTCATAATAGAAAACAATGAAAAACCGTTTGTGTTCACAAGGAATAGCTGATGTGTCTGTTGTGCTCGATAGGACACAGTTCCATTCTCACCAGAATCAGGATCAGAGATGACAATTGAACCTTCAATTTATATAAGTTACGATTGAATAGATGTATAAGTATATCAAACCAAAAGTGGATTTTGTGTCAGCATCAGCTGGTACGACCAATGTATGTACCGAGGAGCACGATGGTGCATTATCATTCACATCTAACACCCTTATGAGAACAGTTGTTGAAGTTGATAATGTAGGCTGAAATATGTATTTTGTTTTTCAATCTTCAGCCAACTGTATCATACATATCCCTTGTCTTCAGCTACAATCGTTAGATTGTACTCGCCTTTCCTTTCCCGATCCAATTCTTTTTTAGCAAAAATGGAGCCAATCTTCTCGTCAATACCAAAATTCTATAAATAAGAAGTATGTATAAATGAAATAATTGGAAGTAATTCAATTACATCTGATCCATTCGTTATTCGATAAGAGATCATTCCATTCTCATCTGAATCTTTGTCTGTAGCATTAACTCGTAGTACTTCAATCATTGGAGGGGAATTCTCAATAATCTGAATATGGCATGTCAGTGGGTATATTCTAATACATCACTAACCTCAGCTTCATAATGATCTCTATCAAACTCAGGTAGATTATCATTAACATCACTGACATGAAGAAGAACTGTCATGTTAGCTGATTTTGGAGGAACTCCGGCATCTGTAGCTTTGACACGAATGCGATAAAACTTAATTCGCTCATAGTCAATTGTGCCAGTCAGTTGTAATTGACCAGTTGATGGTTGAACCATTACAGAACACGATGGATGTGATGATATGATTGAATATGTTACTTCCCCATTCTGTAAATACTTTTATTCAATTATGTTAATTGAATTTGTGAAAACCTTCTTTCTGTCTTTATCAGTGGCATGGACAACATAGAATGGCTCATGCAGTGGTTGATCTTCTTTGATTGTTACGTCAACTGACTCCGAAGAGAACACTGGGAAGTTATCGTTATGATCTTCTATTTCAATGAGGACTTGAGTGTGATTAGTTCCCCCTCCTATCAGATCAGCCTGAATCACACAGTACTCTTGTTACCCATGATTGTATGCTTACTTGAATGTTAAGAAGAACAGTGTCTGACTTGTCAGCATCGAGGTAACGAGCTACAGTGATTCGTCCGTTTTCAGGATTAATAATGAACTGATTGCCAATATTCCCTGATGAAATGCTATAACGAATTCTTCCTTTTCCGACAGCTTGAACAGTTCCAATCGATATTCCAGGTAATATGTCTTCAGATGTACGAATAACATAACGACTTTGACTAAAAGCCGGCGAAGGAGCATCACGTGCAATAACATTTATGTGAATTGTAGCCTATAATGACATTAACTATATACTTAAAAGTATTTTAAATACTACCGAATGCTCTGATACAGCTCCATTTCCATCAACGGCAATAACATTGATGTCATAGCTTCCTCGTTGTAATTGGCCTGAAGCAAACAGTTCGCCTGTCTTCTTCTCCATTCTGAACGGCAAATTATCATTGGCGATTGTATATGATATCTGAAAAAGTTGAAAGTCAGTAATGTCATCCGATGATCTAAGCTTCACTTCTCCGAAGATTCCTTGGTCAGCATCAGTTGCTGCTACAGTGAGTAATGATTCCGAGGGTATTTCACCTTCACGAATTGAGATATTGTAATCAAGTGGATTGAATATAGGAGCGTTATCGTTCACATCGACAACTCGTATGCTTACAAAGCACGTCCCTACTTGTCCATCTGGAAGTATTTTAATAGATTTCAGTCTCCCAACAGTAAACTGACTCTGATCCGTAGCCGTAACTATTAGCTGGTGTGTCTCAGCTGCTTCAAAGTCCAAAGCCTTATCAAGACATATGGTTCCTGAGCTTGAGTCAATGGAGAAAAGCTTAAGCATTATTGTTGTATTCAGTACTCTGTAGTTATAAATAACCTTTGCAGATTTCTTGAGATTGTCTTGGAAAGCATAATGAACCCTTGGCGAGCTTCCACACATGGTATTGTTAGCTTTCACCTGCAAAAACAGATAGAATTAGAAAAAGCTCCAAAAAAGTAAAGAATATTTTGCATGTTTAGATGTTTGATCGAATATCACTTTGACGTATGATTACCCCGTAACTCTCACGTAGATCAAATGCCATTCACACGCTCGTTCCTAATATGCAAATTGCGTATTTAATTATTTTGTTTTAAAGGTGCATGACGAATGGTTGTTCATTTCCTTATTTCTAATTTTTCAAATTATATTTCAATTTCCTGCCCTCTTTCTCTGTCTCTCCCAGAAATGAGAGAGAAATCGAGAAGCACCTATACCTCTCTATCAAGAGAAAGAGAGAGAGATAGAGAAAGGGACCTTCATGTCGCTCATTCTCTCTCTATCATCAGTTATGTTTATAAAGAGTTTGAGTATATTTTCAAATTTTGATATTCAATTAGAATATTTCATTATGTTTGTAAAACCTTAGTTTTGGATGTTGGAAGTTTAATGTTAATAGTTACTATGACAACCCGCTGTCCACAATACTTCTGATGTCTTTTCCATTATTTCATAGAAATATTATAATAAACATTATATTTGTCGAGTGAGCATGCTTCCTATTTCTCATCCTTATCATCGGCTCACATAACAAACACAATGATAATCAGAACTGTTATGAAGCTCTCGGAAATGAGAATGAATGCGATAGAGGAACACACACACATAAACACATAGCTACAGAAACAGAGAAAGAGAGCAAAAGAGAGGGTTAGAGAAAGATTTTTTCTTCTTTTAATTCTCTTCATATCTAACAACCTGACATTGGCTTAAAGATTGCTTGCCGACAGAAGAGAATGTTCATAGAAGCTCCGCCCATCCTATATCAGTCGGCTACTTTCTGCTTCTCAGATTTTAAAGCTATTGCCATTATAAGAGAAAAGAGGGAGAGTTTTGGAAGAGTATTGATGTGAGAGAGAGAGGTAAAGGTAATAGAAAAACTGAGAAACAGAGAGAAAAAGAGAGAGAAGGTAGAGAGATAGATTGAGAAGAGGGAGGGAGAGAGAGCGTGAGGGAGAGAGGAAGGAAGGAGGGAGGGAGTTGTTTCAAGTTTCTTAAAAGGCACAGCTCTGCTAACTTTTTATTTTTTGTTGTTGTCTATCATTCTCTAAACAGTATTGTATGTCTTTATTCTATTAATTAGCATAATTGATTAACACATTGCTTGTGTATGTGTGTGTGTATGTGAACAGACTATATTCAATCACACACAACCTTGTAATGAGTCTCAAAGCTTATCCTATTCTTTATATAAATCTTGTGGGTGAAATGATATATATATTGGAGCAAAGGCTAAAGGTTATTTCATCATCAATCCATTCCTCCCCTCCAATACAATTATTTTTCTATTTAAGCAAATGGATCACGAAAAAAGTATTAAAGTTATAAATGATATTGTGGATGCTGTATTCTCTAAGGAACGTCTCAATGACATATTCCAACCGTGTACTATACCATCACGAGCTACATTACGTAAGACATTTGATGATCTAGCACATGTAAGCTGTATGAAACTAACTGATGCCAGGTATAACATACAATTACATTAACAAACATCTTTCATTTCTCTCTTTCTGTTAATTAGCATGGATAAGCTGTTTGATCTGATGACAATGACATCCAAGTTTCAGACACTCAGCATCGTCTATCCCGAGCAGGTATGTTCTCCATCTAGGCGCACATATCCAGTGTCATTACCATAACCAACGCGCATATCATCGATTACATTAGTCATTCATGGCTTATTTCAATATGATTTTCAGATGCTTGTAGTAGCACTGAATCATATTCGAGGAATCAAACTGATTGTCAGTCCAAATCAAGATGTTGCCGGAATAACAGATGTTCACACTAGGGCAGGTTTTCATAACTAATTTCATATGCAAGCTATAGCAGTATGAATTTTGAAGAAAAAAAAGTGGAAAGAAAATTGAATATTATCACCTGCTAACACATTTAAAATTCTTTAAATAATATAAATAATGATTGAATAATGATAAGTCGTATGCGTGCTGGCAATGTTCTAGCTAATTGTTCCTTAAAGGCAACATTAGCTGGTTTATCGCCAGCACGCGTAATGACCCCCACTGCCAACATCATAATTTACATTTAAATATTATTTTTACTTCTTTTTCTTTCTCTTTATCTTTTTTTAAGGTTTTCATTTTTTTTCCTATTCACAGAAAGAAAGAGAAGGAGTAGAGTGTGTGAAGAAGCAAAGAGAGAGAGAGAGGGAGGGAGAGAGTGTCATAGAGCATTGCATACCTTTATACCTTTTCAGCTTTTATCCTTATATCGTCCATCGCCACCGTGGGAATGGCTATTAATAAGAAATGAACTTCTATTCTATTATCAAGTAGTTTCCTAATTCATATGTCATTCTCATTATTCCATGCTTTGTAAGGATTGCAAAACGAAAATATCGTTGCTCATGCGACAGGATAGACAATGTGACGATGGCACATTCCGTACTCGTTTAGCTAATGAGCCATATTGGCTTCAAGCCGGTGATACTATACCAGGTATGATATAGTGATCTATGGAGTAAGCTGACAGATTAACTTACCAAAGGTGTTGTTAACTATTATGATGATGATGGTAATGTTTATCGACGAGATGAGCCAGGCGATTCTAGATGGAAAGCAAAACCGAAGAACTTTGGTTTCATTAAGTATGCTGTAAGTTGTTTGCTATCGTGAAGCAATTCACAACATGATTTGACGTCATCATCACATTTAGGATGATTACGATCTTCCCGCTATTGAGCGATCAACAAATCTCGGTGACAATCTGTTTGCAAATGGTACTACACTTGATTTCCAGGTAATTCGTATTTCGTTTTTGGCAGCAAAAATGATATTTCAAATTCGTTTCTTTGTTTTCAAGCTTTTCATTTGTTTGAATTTCCCATATTCTACTCTGAGATACAATTGATATGCGAATATTCGTATCATTCTGGACAAAGAATACTCGTTGAAAACAACAAAACTGAGAGCAAAAGAGGAAAAGCTTGCTTCATTCTCAGCTTCTCTTATCATTCATCTTTCGTAAATAATTATTTTACTAATTATAATGGAATAGTATATACGTTATACTTACAGTCCATTGCTGTTTCATGAATCTGAACAGGCAATGCAGAGATGGAGAGAAAGCAAGTGAGGTAAATATAGAGAGAAGGAGAAATTAAAGGGAAGGGAAAAGAACATTTCTCTTTCCTAACTCACACCTCTCCTCGTTTCTTTCTTTTCCGTTTCACTTTATCAAAAGCAGCATAACAAGTGTATATATAGAAAGAGAGAGAGAGATAGTCAGAGAAAGCTATCTGTGGGTGGGTGTTGCTGCATTGATTCATTCAAATGATAAATACCTTCGAATTTGCATAAATGGCGCTTTCCACGTAAAACTCACGTGGAAAAGGAAAAGCTGCCATTTACGAAGAGAATTTCCAATGTTGAACGGTTGAATATCATAACATTAACACTTACAGCAATCAACTGAGAAAGTCAAGAAAGAGCCAATGCCACACGGAGACGAACTTAAACTGCTTGAAAGCATATTTGGCCGATCATCGAAGATTAAAGGTTTATTCTCTGGAAGATCATCTTTTGATCCCACATTGTTTTCAGATTCCGAATCATCAGATGAAGCTATTCAACTGATAACGCTGAATGTTTTTGATGAAGACATCAATGATATATCAATGAAGTCGACCTTTGCTGAGACTAATTCCATTATAGAAAATAACATTAAGAAGATTGATGCTTCTAGGAATAAGAAAAGCTTGGATGCCATTATGAGTGAGGTGAGAGAGCTTTTTCCATATTATTCCCATTTCTTGTTGTCAACCCCTCGTTCGAGTTGTCAATTCATGCCTCTTCTTCAATGCAATAGCTTAGTTGAATCAGTTTCACCGACAACGAAAAACGAATTTCCAATGTTTTAAATATCTTTCTGGTCGGCACTAAAAATGAATTTTGCTGACAAAGAACGTCTTCGTTTGGAGGCTAATTTATCATTTTGTTCGTAGCCGCCCATGAGCGTCTCACGGGAATACACATGGACAGCCTCAAAGCTTCAAAATTAAGCAAACAAAACAAAAAATGACAAAAGAGATCCTTCTTTGAATTTGAATATGAAAAGCATTTGTCACTGCTTTCGTCGCTCATATGTCTTTCATTTTCGACCCAAACTGATTCTGATGACGATGAGATTATTGAAGAAGTCATGTGATTTTCAGATGAAACTAGATGAAAGGCCATTAACTAAAGCAAGTAAAAGACCCAGAGGAACAGATATTCTTAGTATGATGGATGAAGCTGCTAACAGGTGGTTTATTCAGCTTTAATCTATTTATAACTTGTTGCATTGTAGACCAGCAACAGGCCATAAGAGGATTGAGCCATCGATGACATACAGAGGACGACAGTTCAATCGACATGAAGACGATAACATCCGAGCTAATAGTATAGCTCCATCATCTCGACTTCCAACTGCCAAAAGTCGTCCAAGCTCAATAGAGCCAAGAACGCGTGTGGGAGCCAATGATGATATAGTTCGCTCTCCCAGTATAAGTCTGAATATTACGACTAGACCTCAATGGAATGCTATATACGGTAAAGGATAGCGATCGAAATGCATATCTCCTCAGTGCTCATGAACTGAATGCCAGACATACCTTTGATTTTAAGATAGAAATTGTTTAATAGAGAATAAATAAAAATGTTTGATATTCATATCCCCATATTCCGTACAAATGTCCATTTAGCACCCTTTAATGAGCTCTGAAGCTAGCTGGCAAGCCAGGTGACCCGGAAGGATCTCTTTCTTGTTTTCAAGCAAGGTAAACAAGTTGCCACGTACAGTTTGACAGCTGTCAGTTATGAACATCAACCGATATTCTGTTATACAAATAGTAATTAAGAATAACCAAATAAGTCAATGATATCCCTTCAGTCTCTTTCATGATTTTTTGTTTTAAATGACAAAAACAAGATAAGCTCGTACCTTTAGCAAGCAGGATCCTTGCTCTGTGTCTTCAGTCACCAGAATCTCATAAAGCGATTTTTCGAACTGTGGTGGTTTTCCGCTTGGATCAATCAAATCAGCAATAACCTATTAAACCGTGATGTAAAGCATTATAATTTTTAATATAACTGACAGTCATATCTGAGTACTTTGATGGTTTGCCAGCATCTTCCGCTCGAACGCGAAAGTTGATCATTGAGCCGACCGAGCAATCCAACTAAATTTGGAGAACATTAATTATTCTAAAATAAGAACAAGCTTACTTCTCTTTCAATTATTAATCTTCCAGAATCAGCGTCTATTTTAATTAAATCAGTATCAAGTATACTATAATGAATTCGCCCATTGGCACCCTGATCGGGATCAAATGCGTCAACCACATGAACATTCTCGCCATTACGCTTCAGCACCAGATGCATGTTGAGCTGAGACCATTGGGGAGCATTATCATTAACGTCACCTTGGATATAATGTTATATATGTTCATACGCAGTTCATATATACCTATGGTTAATAGAACTGGATGTTCAAGTAGTATGTCATCAGATGAGTCCTTCATTATGAACTTCAGATGATATTCTGGAGTTGTTTCTCGGTCAAATAAGCCACACACAATTAATAGATAGATCCTTGATGATTCACTCTGCTGCATACATAATGAAGGACATCCGGTCAAAGATAAATTACTGCAAATCGTCATTCATTTAATTTCAAATTGTACGTCATACCTATGCTTCTTATTCTCATGAACTGAGAGACGAGCAACAATCGATCCTAGTGTTATGTTCTCCATCAAATGAGCTGTTGTGGTATCTGTTAACCAAATGATATCCAAAGCTGGAGCATCATGTGTTGAGCCTTGCACAGTGATAGTCGCAAAAGCTGTGGCTTCAAGTGATGGACGTCCATGATCAGAAGCTACTACCACCAGATCATGAACAGCTCCTGGTAAAAGCTGGGCTGTAGTAGATAGCACTCCATTTGGAGCCATCGAGAAGAATGAAGATGAACTAGAACGAGTCTGAAAAGAGAGGTTCAATGAGGAAAGTATATGGATTCCAACTTTTTGTAATCTATAAGTAATCCTAGCATTCTCTTCTATATCAGCGTCGGTTGCTTTTACGGTCAAAATGGTGGATCCTATAGACACTGTTGAAGAAACTCTGTAAGCAATCAGAGTATAACAGCATTATATGTATGAAGAGCGGTTTTGAGGAAGTAAAACTCACGAAGCTGAGTAGCGAGGTTTCTCAAACACAGGAGCGTTGTCATTTGCGTCCAGAATTTTGATGTTCAAACGCATTTTTCCAATTCTTGAAAGTTATTTTTCATCCGAATAAGGTTTTAAATGCTATTATGTACCTTGGAGGTTTACCACCATCAAGAGCTTCTATGACGAGCTCATACTTGTCTCGGTACTCTCGATCCAATTGTCCATTAACCACTAAGTCTGCATAAAGGACTCCATTCAGACGTCTTGATGAAATCTATAATCGAAAGACATGAGTTATCATTCTGCATCTTGATCTTACTTTGAAGACGTTATTAACATTTCCTTGAGCAATACGGTATTTCTGAACGTTGTAACTCGGTCCATCACGGTCATCTGCTAATGGTAACGGAAATTCTGATCCAATACGGGCAAACTCCGATATTTCAATCTATAATTACATGTGTTCATCCTGATATTCATATTAGTTGACAAGTAACTAGTGCAGAAATGAGGAGGTAAAAGATAACAGAAAACAAGGAGTGAACGAGTATGATAAGCATCTACTCACAGTTATGCGTTCATCCGCGAATGTTGGCACATGATCATTCTCGTCTTCAACCTCGATAGATATCTGAATGCCATCTCCACCTTGAACTGGTATGGCTAAAACTTCAAAGTTCGTTTTCTTTTCATAATCCAATGGCTGGAGCGTAACAATTTCGCCTGATCGATCATCAACCTTTATAATCTGAAAAAGATGAATTTGATTTAAACGTTTTTCAATCTTTCTCTTCTTCAACTTCTTTTCATGTTCAAGTGTTCAATTTTTGAGTTTTTGAAATAATTTTTATGACAAATTGGCTATTTGCCCTCAATATAGCGGCAAAATGATGATGAGAGTATGAAAGAAACATAGGAAGAGGATGCAATGTAACATTCAAAAGGTGCCGTAAGTGGGGTTGTGAGACAGACGGAGGTTGTTAATTAACTGAAACATTGCGTGTTTCCTATTAAAAACCTTTTCATTGAGCACTTAAGGAGACGATCTGTTTTGCTTTTTAGAGCAGATGACATTCATCACGTCGTCGTTCTCTCTCTCTTTGAATCGTTTTTGTTCTTAATATTCATCTTTCCTCTTTATTATATAAATGAAGGACAAGGTATTTGTATGGATAACCAACACATTCTCTCTTTCAATGCATCTCAGACTGTTCACCAAGTCCCAGACACATACATTCTATATCCTATTCTTCTCTATTGAACAGATAAACTGACTGCTTGTCGTTTGACATGCGCGACGAACATCTGTTGTTTGTGACAGATTCGTCTGTCATATTAGACAGTTTAACCCTCTTCTACTACAAGCTTCACATGTTTCATCTTTTACTTCTTTCAAGAAATTATATCTTCACATCAACGATGGACAAGCACATCAGATGGACATCAGATTGAATACACGAGTGAAGCACAACCGCTCATCGCATTTGCATTGAGACAGAATGATTTCACGTGTGCATGTGTATTGATGTAAAGAAGCATGAAGGCCAGAACTAGAAAAACAACAAGTTGAGGCCATCTTCAACATCTTTTAATTAATTCGAAACTGTTTTTTCCACATTCGACCACAAACTTCTTGCATCATTAAGCTGAGGGGTTAAACTCGGAAAGAGAACAACACACAAGTGAAAGGCTGTATCGGGTTGAGGATCGGAATAATCCTCAAAAGAAGTAACATGAGAGGACTTAAATGAGACCATTATTCGCTCTAAACATATAGTTAACAGGGTTCATCTAAATACGCGTGCCGTCTAAAACAATGAAGTGCAGTCGAGTCATCCCCGAGCTCTCACAGTATGAGCCGTATCCCATTTGATCCGTCTATTGAAATATCGAGAAACTGATTATAGATGCTCATACATCTTACTCTACTACTCTACTATATGCATATAGTATATAGTTAGTGAACGTTATTCGGTGTGTGGACCATCTAATTACGGTAAAGGTTCGCCCCGTTGAGATGCACACTAGAGCGTCTTAGCTATCTAGAAGGTCAAATCCTTCCAAACCTCAAAGGCAAAAAGGATCAAGACTGAAGGAGGGAGAAATGAAGAAGAATAAAAGAATGTACGAAAAGACAGTTAAGATGAACGGACTGCCCTTTCTAACTAATAGAAGACTGCACGTCGTCCTCATCTCAATCCCGCCAAGCCATTCTTAACTACATTCTTCTTTAACAAAATATTTTGATGTGCCGAATAAGGAAATTCACGACCTTCCTCTTTCATTTACCTCTCATATTCCAAAACGTTGGTTAGTTTTTATGCTAATTATACGTATAGTTAGAATATATAATATCACATTTTGGCGCATTTTCAAAATGAAATATGGTTAAAGTAAATAAGAATTGAAAGTAATTATCATTCAAGTGATTCATAAGAGATGAAAAAGGAATAAGGGTATAGGAAGGTTTGTCAATAAGAAACTTCTTCCTAATTTGCATATTTCAAAAATAAACAAGAAAAGTTTTTGGGGAATTGAACATACCTTCTCAGTGATGTCATCTGAATAGACAACGAAGTAACGAGCATCTGTAGCTATCTTCGGACTTCCTTCAACATATCCAACTACATGTCCAACAGGTACACTTTCCGGAACAGAAAATTGAATAGATAGTACTTGATTATAAGTAATTATTGAATATATTAATATGAATATTAGCATAATTAACTAGATCCACATATCATTGACTATGTGATATATCTGAAATACAATAGTATAGTTAGCATAGTAATAGAAAATAATTAAAACATATAAGCTAAAGAAGGAAAAGCAGAAGACAACAAAATGAATTGAAATATGAAATGGATGACAGTGGGTGGAGTCGGAGAATAGGATGAGATTGATGAGATTTGTGTTGAGAAGTTGCTTCTCCTACACTTGCACAGAGACAACACCAAAATCATTTTTTTTTCCTCATTCATTGGTTGTTTGTTGCTCTTCTAACATAAGAAGCAGGAAGAACATTACTAAAACTGTATAAGTTATGAATAATTAATGGAACTTGATCAGATCATTGTGTCAAGCAGATGGTTTCAAGTCCGTTATTGACAGCTTGAACTCCTCTCATAATGAATGAAGTTAAAATTGAAAAATACTTCAAATGAGAATGATCTTATATATGAAAAAAAGAAAAAAAAGACATTTTCAAGCATTTCCTTAATTGGAAAATGAAAAGAACAACACAAAAAATGAGAAATGAAAACAGATGTGGATGAAGATGGTTAATGCAGAATGATGGTGATGGCGTAGGAGGAGGTAGAGGAGGAGAGGCCGTATGGGTGGCAAAGTCATGCTATAAACAGTACAAAATCAGATAATATAATGATAAATACGGAAAGCAGATGTATAATTAAGACTTAAATTGTATAATTAAATGAACATTTCAACATAAAAAGCCATCATAAACTATCATATTGTGACAGCTGAGCTCACATCTTCGAAGAAGAGGAGATGCCAGCGCGCACTTTTCAATTCAAATTCGAATATTACCTATTTGAATTCATCTATATATGGAATGATGAAGATGAACAGCATGTTAAAAAGGATGTAAAAGGTGAACAAGAAACACAACCGCTTCATGCAAATGCATTGATGTAAAAATGAGAATTAACATATTCACGTATGCTTTGACGTGGAAATACGCTAATTCTCATAATGGTTGAAGAGCTTTTAAGATGAAGGACGAACACAGAAAAAGTTGTTTCAACCTTAAGGTTACACATATACGAATTAGAATGAATGATTTTTCTGTGATTCAAGATATAATTGTCCAAGAAAATGACAACATAAGGTGTCAGATTGACGTATTAACCGGCAGTTACACAGTATTGAAGTGAATGAACGCATGAGATGGCTATGTGATGGAGGAAGGACGGGGGGGGGGGGGGGGGGGATGAGATGAATATGGAAAATGGTAAATTCGTCTTTCATAATAATAAGATGCTAAATGAAAAAGCTTAGTTAAGCTGCAGAAAAAGATGTTTCTTTCGTCCAGATGACGGGATTAGACGGAAACCGAACGACAAGAGAATGAGTAAGGGTGGGAGGGTGTGATGAGGATTGTCGGCTATCGGTCATGGGCGGAGAACATGAACGAGCATACTTGGGTATTTGCAAGAGATGGATGAACCTTCACCATCAAACAGTTATGAAACATCAACAAAAATGAAAATGACGCTGTACGATAGACTGATTGATAGGGATGGCAAGACGAACGTTTTTCTTACTTTTTTAAGGATTTTTTTATGATGTAAAAGAGGGTGAAGAGGGAAGAGGAGAAGAAAGGATAAAAAGGGTTGGAGGAACAGCCATATAGCGGTCAGTCAAGGCCATCCCACACATATACCATCTTCACAAAGTTCTCAGAAAGTTGGTCCAAGGTAGGAAAGAGAGTGAGAGATAAAGATAGAGAAAGAGATTTACAAGAGAAATCGTTTGGGTGTGAATATATTTTACTTCAACTAACTATATGCAACTAGTTAAAGGCCAATAGATAGACAATAACCATAATCGTTCATAATCATCTTTGAATATAAGGTAAAATTAGACTGATTGACTGCGATTAGTGGCAAATTGGATTAGAAAACATATGTCCGTTTAATAATAAAAAAAAAGATTTTGAAGAAGAAAGATATTCTTTGTTTCGAAAATTGTGATTCAGAAACATGAGTTGAAGAGTACAAGAGAGAAAAGGTGGTTGAACAAGGAGATAGAGGAGATGGAATGTGTTGGAAGAGAGGAAAAGAACTGGACTGTCATCATCAAAGGTAAGAAAAGCTTATTAAACTTTCAATTTTATTCAGAATTGGACTAATTATGAGATATGAGCGAAAACATAATTCTACCTTAATAGGATAACCACTGACCAACCATTGAACTGTCGATGATAACACGTTTCTCATTGGTCAGACAAGAGAATAACAAAAATAATTTTAAGAAAATAAAGAAAAAAAAAGTATTCAGATGAGATAGTAGGAAGAAGAACAAGAAGATGAGCGAAACGGAAAAAATGGTCTCGTTCGAAGGAAGAAGAAGATGACCATTGGGTATAACCAGATAACGACAAACGGTTGAATGTTTTTGAAGAAGTCGATAACGATCTCTTCGTTTTCATTTGCAAATACAAAGAGTCTATATAAGGTGAATGAATATCCTTAATGATGTCTAATCGTTATGAAGACATACAGTCATTGCTTGTTCTAGCTGCTTTCTACGCCTGTTGACAGCGTTTGAAGCGTTCGCTCTTTCACTTTCTCTCAGTTTATTCTTCTTTCGTTCACATCATCCAAGTTGTTCGAAATCCATTTCAGAAGTCATTTAGCTGTAACGAATGTGTTCTGATGGGTGGTCGTAAGCCAATTGAAGAACCGTTTAATCTGACATTCAATTTGAATCTTTTTTGTATCTGTGTGTGTTTGGATTTTCATAAAAGCAATTTTAATGTAGCCGCGAATACCTTAGAACACTTAGAAACGAGCCAATGTCTTTGTTTGGGAAAACAAAAAAAAAAGACGAAAAAGTAGACGATGATGATGATGATGGTGGTGTAGACGACGATCATATAAGAGAGACATCATAAGGTGACTAGAATGCAAAGTCAGGTAAATGATAAAGTAGTTTATGAACATAACTGTTCAGGGTAAGTCATAATCGAGATGACTTCGATGAAATCTTAACATCTCTCTTTCTCTTCATACGTATCTCTCTTCTTCTCTCGAGCTCTCTCTCTCTTCAGACATTTTTCATTAGAAAAAAGCTTTTTTTGTTTCAAATGAAAAAATCCAGCTGATGACCTTCAATGTCATTTTAAAAACATTCTGAAAACGATGAAACAAAAAAAGAAGACGAACAGAACACACTCATCATCATAACTGGATGGATGTTAGGAGAACAAGTCTACAAATCTTCTTTTGATAACAACATAGGCTGGGAGAGGAGGAGTTGGGGAGGCTATGAAGAAACCATACGTACTACTTTAAGCATTGAAAGAGAATCTAGACGAATGTGGATAAAGCATTAAACTCACTTGTGACTTTCAATTGCTTCAAAAGTCAGAAGGACTTAAACTTCAACATAAAGAAGGAAAAGAAGAAGAATATCTCAAAAGTGCGATTCATCTTCAATAGACCAACTCATCAAAAGGTCTGTCTATAGATATGGAAATTAACCAATGGATAGATTCAACTATGAAGAGTTTCAGATGAAACTTCAAGGCTTTGAATTGAAACTTTCAGAATATTCGTAATAGTCTTCGAAAATGTTTAAAAACATATCATATGAATGAATGGGTAGAATATAAAGGGCAAATTACATCTGATCAAAAGCCCCTGAGGAATATGTGGTTACAATGGAACATCCACAATCATCACATTTCAGAAATGGAATGAGGAGCTCAGAAATTAGACCACAACGAACAAAAAAACATTGTCAATGATAGAAAAGAATGGAGAGGATATGCAAAAAGGGTTTAAGAGTAAGAGAGAGAGAGAGAAAGACTTAGACGGAGAGAGAGAGAGAGAGAGAGAGAGAGAGAGAGACGGAATAATGAAAGCAAATCGAAAAGAAGAAAGTAAAAATCTTGTGGGTCATCTGGTTACTTCTGAAGAGACTGGAATCAGAATTAGCGCACAACGATAGACCAAATGAGGCGAGAAGATAAGTAGCTAAGCATTCACAACTCAACTGCGCAACTTATTTCAACATCTTTACAACTTCCGCTAAATAGTTCATAAATAGTTGTAAGCGGACGATAAATGATGAAAAGTATAAATGGGAATGATGAGTTGAATCCTCAATTCATGAACATTCATTGAATTAGCTGAGCGATTTGGAGGGTAGGGAAAGGCAAAAGCATAAAGAGAAGGATTTTGGTTTCGAAAAATAATTGAAACCATAAAAACAGAATAATTTCGATGAAGTTGCTGATCATTTTGCATTCATTTATATTGCTTAAGCTCACACAATGAATCTTTCTTTCAGCTTTCATCTATCCTATGGGCGGCAATGGCTAACCACTCTCACACATTTTCCCACAAATGTTGTTATCCTTCAAATCTGTATCATTACCAAAACCCAAAAGAAGTAGATGCTTCATGCGAGGAGTAAAACAAGGAAGCACGACGAGGAATGAGACAACTGAAAAGGAAGAAGAACATCAGCCCAAATGCTGAAAAACACATTATTTTTCTAATCAAGAACTTAAAGCTGACAACTCCACAATGAAAACAATAGATTGGATAATGGAAACAAAGCGTTGAGAATATCATTCTCTCAATCAATGGTATCGAAATGAGCTAATTAGCATAAACTGACGTAATTACGTAAGAATAGTGTTAGACTAATGAAGGTGATGAACAAATTCATTTTGATATGTTCAAGACGTATAGAGCGGTTGGTTTGAGATGCAACAGTTAAACTAAGAGTAACAATTAAAGATATTATTTGACTTAATAGAGCATCTCCTCTATACTTAACCTCATAAACGGATGTTATATCTAACCAAAAACAGTATTTGTACAAAGCATACAACACATGCTGTGAATTATATTTTACCATTACTGTATCTCATGTCGGAACTTCACAAACGATATCAACGGACAGCTGACAAGTGACATGAACACATCAAGCATAAATAAGAAAAGCGGAAAGTGGTTAAAGGTTAA